TGTTTTGAGTGGATGGATGATTGTAGATAGACAGATAGTAGATAGATATCTGAACTTCACTTGACTTTTATCACACTTATATTTTTGGTTTATTTTGAATTATAAACAGGATGGGAGACCATAATTACTCATGTTCTTAGTATATCTATTATGCTGTAACATAATAGAATATCCATTATATCCCATACAATTTCAGAACTCAAAGAGAGAGAAAGTGCTTCATTCTTCTCTTCCATGCAGAAATACCCTTGTCTAACATCCCTAACAAATTTTCCTTCAGATGCCATTTATTATTCCAGCATATAAAATTCCAGCTGTGATTTGAGTGTGGCCGATTACCAAATGATGAGTTTCTCCCTCAAATCTGGACATGATGCTACTGTTACTGATGCCTGTGAATATGAGCTTCAAAACTAGGGGAACCTTTTGGCTGTTACAGTTGTTTTTACTCAAACTCCAGCATGTACGACTTTTGGAAACAGTTCCTTAAGGAGGAGCTCATTGGAAAAAGAGTATCATCTTGCCTTTTGGAAAAATTATCTCAAGGATAATAGACCCTCATGTAAAATGCAAAATTTTAAAACTTGATTGAATAAATTATGAGAGGAAGCTCATATTCGCAGGCATCAGTAAAAGACAGAAGAGACAAGTGATAAGATATTTGCAAAATACATATTTGACAAAGGACATGCATCTGAAATGTCCATTGAACTCTCAATATATAACATTTCCACAACCAAAGATGGGCTAGAGGTCTGAATAAGTTATTGCAAAAAGAAGATAAGCAGATAATATCAACTAAGTACATGAAAAGATGATCAATAGAGAAAATACAAATTCAAACAAGAAGATAGCATAATGCCACCCATTAGAATGGCAAAAAGCCAAAGAAGCTGCAAATCAAAATGTTAAGGAGGGCCAGGGAGATGGCTTAGTGGAGTAAGTGCTTCCCTGGTAGGCGCAAGGACCTGAGTTCAATCCCTGGTTCCGCAAAAAAATGTTAAGGAGTCAGAGCAAAAGAAATTTTTATTCATTGTTAATAGGAAAGCAAAGACTATCTTTTTCATGACATATACTTTTTATCTTTTTCCATAATTTTTATTGAGAAACAAATAGCAATGAGACAGTTTCAAATCAAATTGGTAGGACAGTTTCAATAATTAACACATTGCATAC